GCCCAGTTTTTTTGGCAACACCTATCAACCGGATTGTGATTTATTCGGTGGATAGCATTAAGAATAGACACAACATTTACGTTACCTTCTAACGGCGAAAGCTTGGACTGATCAAGTTTGGGCCTGATTTTTCTTTCTTTACGGTTGCCTGATTCATGGACTTGAACTACACTAGGAGGTGCTATTGAAAAAAGGGGGAAATATGACCTAATGTTGGCCTCTGATAATGGAATTAACTATGTCTGCAGCATAAAATAATATTTATTAACAATTAGTACACAATTAACTTGATATAAGTAGTTATATATATTACGAAGGAGTGTGTGACGAGATAAAGATTGTCTACATACTCAAAGTGGAATTGTTTTAAGTTCATCAGATCTCCACGTAATTCATTTGATTATCAAATAAATGTTAACCTGCACTCATGGCATCCCTTTACAATATTGTTTTTACTATACTTTGCAGAAGACAGTCACGTTATTAAAATGTTGCTTTACAGTTTAAGCTGCACACGTAGTTAAAAATCGCAGCCTTAACCCTAACCCTAAGCGTAACCCTCAACAGCTGGTACAAAAGCATATTTTAAGAAACATGAGTGCTAGATGTCAAACTTTGGATTGACCATTTCCGGTTGCCATAGCATGAAAGAGAGATCATATTCATTTCAGTTCTTTAAGCTTACTCTCTATTAATTGTTCGACTGATGGCATTTTGGAACGGAGAGCGTCTACGCGTTCCCATCGTTTGTCGTCTGTAGCTTTTTTTGTGTGTTCAATACTGCTCAGATGTTTTTGATAGTCATTAAAATGAACCTCACAAAGTTCGCAAAATGTTATTTTTCTTTCTCTGTTAATAGGCCTTGTCTCCAACACATGTGGTCCCCGGGAAAACATGGTGAAAGCGTCTGGCCATTCTTTCATTTCCAAAACTAAAGGCCTGTAGCACTCACTACGGTCAACAACCTTGATAAATGGTGGTCGTAACTTTCGCACTTTAACTGATGGGACATCGTTGAGCGAGCGTTTGTTACGTATACAAAGGGCTGAGTGCGTTCTTGTTAAGAGTTCAAGGTTCATTTCTTCCAGAAAAATGATATTAACGCCAAAGTTCTTAGCTTTTTCAATAACACTACCACTGTCTTGTTTCTTAGTTGTTCTTGCAAGAATCATTGCACCACGTGATGATGGATCTGTTAAGATTTTCTTTGATGTTGTACTTTTATCTCTTTCCAACTCTAAGCATCTGTTTGAGGTGATCAAGTGAGTTATTTTCCGGTGAAAAAACTCACTAAAACCCGCTCCACATTCAGTAAGGGAACTGGTAATTTTCCTCAAACTACTTTGCGATAAGCCAGGCAAATGTACGAACACTAATGTTCCTTGTAACTGACTGAAATCAAAGCTTGTCTCTTTGATAGCCGAATCTGCAAATTGGCATAAGAATAATGTATATAGAGCATTTTGATGCACTACAAAAGGACAAAAAAGAGTAGTGATAGCTTATTTTATCTCAAACGAATGAAACGAAGTAATTAAATATCTTTTTCAAGTTAGTGAGGTTGCGTGCTGAAATCTGCGAGCCGCAAGCTAGATAGTAAAGAACCAAAATTCCCGTACAAGACCACGTAAGGTCACGAAAAGATCTCCTGTTAACGGGGTTTGAACAATACAACATAAGAATGTTAAAAAACATAACGACAAAAGGCAAAAACTGAAAAAAAAACAAAAAAAAAAAAACGACCCAAACAAACCAAAACTAACGAGACA